CCCCCCCCCCCCCGCTCTGGTACAGGCAGCCACCACCTCTCCCAGCTTTCATCCAAAAATTTTGTTTTGCAAAGTCACTGAGGTCAGTATGGTGAGCATCACAAAGAAATCTGGGCCAGAGGGATAATCCCTCAGTATGCAGAGTGATAAACGTCAGCTTCAAAAGGACCAGGGTCAAACCTGGGGCAGTGGTTCAGCAAACGAAGTTCTGGGGGCTGTGACACCCCAGCCAGATGGCAGAGGTGCTGCCAGGGCTAGGGTCAGGCATATGAAAGTGTTCCCCTTCCTGTGAGTCTCCAAACTAGAATAAAACCCACACACAATAGAAGACAAAACACACATACAACTGTGTACTTTAGCAATTGGATAACTTCCGATTAACTGCTTGCATCAGCCATTAGTTTTGGCATTTCAGTTGCCAAGATTTATTGACTCTGATCTTAAGGGAGGCTTCTTCCCCAACCCAGTGTTTCCTGCACTGCTTCCTGGACAGAGCTCTCAACCCCTGGGTGGGAAAGCCAGCTGTGCCTTGGAAACTATTGCTGGGTGCTTTGGAGGCATCTCTGGCCAAGGCCTTCAGAAATCTCTGGCTGTGGCGACATCCTGTGGTTGGATGTGGAATTGCACCTTTGGAGTGGTTTTTGTCTTTTGTGGTTAAGAGCTTTTTTTGTTTTGTTTTTGTCTCTGTTGCTTTCTTTTCTCCTATTCTGCTTCTTTTTCTCACCCTGTAGACTCAGCTTTGTTGCTGGAGAGGCTGATTCGTTTGCCCCCGGAGGAAGCACATTTTCAGGCCTGGTGACATGTGGTCTCAAGTCGCAGGAAACCGGTGCTTTGGGGGGCAGCCCTCGCCAAGTCAGAGCCAGGTTTTCTTCCTGTGTAAGTGGCCACAAGGAGCACTTGTTAGGACTGAGCCTGTCCCGGACAGGGCAGAAGCATAAGGGGCTGGTTGCAATTGGACAGCTTCTGCTGGGGTTGTGGCAATGTGTTTCCTTTGGCCCCTGGGAGAAGAAAGACAGAGACTGGGGCTGTGAGAGGCAGACAGGGACAATGTGACACTAGGGGACAGATACCTTGGGCTAGAGCCTAACTGTGTCTGTTCTCAGTTTCTTCTGGGACTGTCGCCCAGAGCCTGTTTCTCCTGCTTTGACCCTCTGCTCCATCATAGCTCCATCAAACAGGAAGTGGTTTGTTTGCTTTTCCGAGCTACGTTTAGTACTGGGGGCCTCGTTTGAGGGAGGGATAGGTCACACACAGCTTTAGAGGCAACCTGCCATATCAGCATGGTCCGGATGTGTCCAGTCTGTGTTGGAACCTGGTGTGTTCCTATGAAACCACAGCCCACTGCCTCCTTTCCAGTGTTGTGGCATAGTCAAAAAGGTAATTGAGTTGTTGTTTGTTTGTTTGTTTTGACATAGAATCTCCTATTGCCCAGGTTGGCCTCAAGTTCACTATATAAAATATATTAAAAATGCCTTTGAACTTCTGGTCCTCCTGACCTCAGATTCACTATATAGAATATATTAAATGTATTTAATATAAAATGTTTAATATATAAACTATATTAAAAATGCCTTTGAGCTTCTGATCCTTCTGATTTGCCCTCCAAGTGCTGGAATCATGGGCATATGCTACCATGTCTAGTTCATGAGTGTTGGGGAAGGAACCTGGGGCTTCCTGCGTGCCAGCTAGACAGGCACTCCGCCAGCTGAGCTACATCTCCAGCCCCAGAGCTGCAGTTTTGTGTGGATGCCTTGCTCAACCCTAACCTTATACCCAGTCTGGGTGTCTCTGGTGCTGAACTCCCAGGTCTAAAGCTGTTACCCCTCGCTAGGTCTCCAGAGAGGTGGGGATCTGTCCAGGAGGTCTGGCCTCCTCCTAAATAGTGAGATTCTGTCTTTTCTCTGGGGAGCAGTGGGAAAGCTCATGGGGGAGAGAGAGACAGGCCCTCCGCACATCCACTTTCCCCAGGCCAGTGTTCCCGTGCTGATATATTCTAGAAACTTCTCTGGGTGATCCAGCGCCCTCTTGAGCCCAGGTCTTTGTACGGCACCACATGGGTGGTTCCAGTTGTTTGGGTGCATCTCTACTTCTGTATACAGTGTGATCTTGGGGTCTGTGCTTGAGAGGCCCCTTCCTGTCTTGGTGGGACCTTCTAAAACCTCTCTGTTGCTAAATCTCCTCTGACCTTTGCAGGTTTCTGCCTGAAGACACCCCCACCCCCGTCTTGGGCTGCACCCATTACATTTCGTGCTCTCAGAGCAAGTTTCTCCCTTCTTGTTGAAGTTCTGTCGTTTCCAGCAGTGTAGGAGGCGTGAGAGAGGCTAGTGGAGAAGCTGAGGTCCACAGGAGGCCATGTAAAAACGCTTGTTGATGACCCATGCGCTCATGTGTGCGTTCCTGAACAGCCTCCGTTTCCTCCCTGACTTCAGGTTTCTTGAACTCCAGAAGCCCCGGCTCTGTAAGCTGCTCCGGGTTCTCGCCTTCGCCTACCCCTACACCTGGGACTCGCTTCCCATCTTCTACCGGGTAAGGACATGGGTACATCTCCTCTCTTCCTGTCAGCAATGCCAGGGCCTCCGTTGTCTCCTGAGCTCTGAGAGAGTCATAACGCCCCAGTGGGTTTTGGGGGACCCATAGGAGTTGAGACTTGGGTGTTGCAGTTAGAGATAGTGTGAACACAGAGGCCAGACAAAATGACTAGGGCCTTAGGAACAACCACAGAGACCTGGGCAAGTGTCTTAGTTAGGGTTTCTATTGCTGTAAAGAGACACCCTGACCACGGCAACTCCTATAAAGGAAAACATTTAATTGGCACTGGTGTACAGTTCAGAGGTTTAGTCCACTATTGTCATGGCGGAACATGGTAGCATACAGGCAGACATGGTGCTGGAGAAGGAGCTGAGAGTTCTACTTTTTCATCTGCAGGCAACGGGAAGTGAAGTTTGAGCCACACTGGGTGTAGCTTGAGCATATGAGACCTTAAAGTCCATCACCACAGTGATCCATTTCCTCCAATAAGGCCACATCTACTCCAGCAAGGCCACACCTCCTAATGGTGCCACTCCCTAAGACCGAGCATTCATACACACACACACACACACACACACACACACACACACACACACACGAGTCTGTAGGGGTCATTCCTAGTCAACCACCACCACAAGGCAGACAGCCTGGAGTTTGGTCATCATCGGTATGGGAAAAGGCCAATACATGCATGATTGTATATTATTGGTAACATAGGGTGTTGCTGAAGGAAAAGGCAAGGATGAAAGTCTTAAAAGGATAGATGGGGGGGTGAGGCCGAGAGTACAATGGCAGGGAGCTGAGGTCGGAGAACAGGACAAGAAGGAAAGAGACTCACTTGCAGGACACATGGGCCCGAGTTCAGATTCTAGTCTCCATGGTTACCTGTTGTGTGATTTGGGCAGGACACACACCCTTTCTGAGCCTGGGTTTCTTCATCTGTGAATGAGGCTCACGTCTGCTTCTGCGTAGGAGCTGATAAGGATTCCTGGGTATAATGAATCTTAGAGGAGTCAGCATTACCTTGTGCGTAGACTTCTCCCAGAGGCAGTGTGAGGCCCAGGTGGCAGGGGGTGAGGCTACAGGGTAGGGAAGAGTTTTACTTGCTACACTGGGGGTTTTGCCTGTATTTCCCTGAGTGGGTCTACAGGAGAGTTGGGGATGGGAGTGCAACTCAGAGCTCTCGCTGGTTCCTGGAGGGAACTTGTGCAGGGGCACACAGGGAACTTCACCTGAAAGCGGTCCCCAGTTACACGCAGATTTCATGCTGTGCGATGCTATCTGGAGGCTGTGCCAGATGATAGGGCATAGGGCAAGCGGTGATTGCATCAGTACCAGAATGGCCCTGCCCAGATTCCAGCCTTCGCTTCACTGACTACTGGCCGTTTGCAAGTCAGTCTCAGGCTCACTTTCCTTGTGTACAAAACTGGGAAGTGGAGTCTGCCTGAAGGTGTGCTAGGCAAGGGCTCGCATAGAGCTATATCCCCAGCCCCTTATTGATTTTGAGACAGGATCTCACTAGGTTGCTCAAGCTGCCCTTCAACTAACTCCATAGCCTAGGTGGGCCTTGAACTTCTAGTATTTCTGCCTTAGGGAGTGAGTTCAAGCTAGAGTCACCAAGCTAGGCCAAATGGTGATTCTTTTTGATGATGCAGAAAGGCTTCCAAGCTTTTTTTTTCTTAAAGATTTTTTTTTCTGTCACATTTATTTCTTTTGTGTGCACATGTCCATCCCCCACCACATGTGAGTCACAGCAAGTGCATGGACATCAGAGGACAAATGGTGGGAGCCAGTTCTCTCCTTCCACTACGTGGTCCAGGGGTTTGTTTGGACTCAGGTCATCAGGCTTGATGACAAAGGACTTTACCCACTGAGCTATGCTGCCAGAATGCCTCTAAGCCTTGACACCTTCATTATGAGCCTCAATTCTGTAGCTTTGCATCTGGAGTCGGGGCAGATAGGACCATTCCTCTGTGCTTGCATTTTATCCTCAGAAAGCAGCAATATCTAATAGGATCTTTCTTTCTTTCTTTCTTTCTTTCTTCCTTCCTTCCTTCCTTCCTTCCTTCCTTCCTTCCTTCCTTTCTTCCCTCCTCCTCCTCCTTCCTCCTCCTCCTTCTTGTTTGTTTGTTTAGCTCTGGCTGTCCTGGGAACTTGCTCTGTAAACCAGGCTGGTCTTGAACTTGGAGGTCTGCCTGCCTCTGCCTCCCAAGTGCTGGAATTAGAGGCGTGCACCACCGCTGCCCACTGCTCATCTCTATTGGGCCTCTTCTCTTCTATCTCTCTTCCCCTCCTCCCCACACTTGCCTTGATCAGGCCACAATCCTGAGGAGGCGAGGCCTGGGCCTGAGGAGTTTGTGCTGGTGTGCTGAGAGGTGTAGGTCTGAGAAAGACCTATGATCTGGCTTCTCAAGGCCTTTTGTTTTGTTTTGTTTTGTTTTCCAAACACCTGCAGCTCTTCCTGTTCCCAGGAGAGAGTTCAAGAAATGAAGCCATCTTGTATCACCAGAAGCACATGGTCATGACCCTCCTGGCCTCTTTCTTGTACTCTGCTCACCTGCCTGAGCGACTGGCTCCTGGACGCTTTGACTACATCGGTGAGTCGGGTGGGGCAGGGGTAGGGGTGACCCTGAACCAGGGTGGGGAGATCCTTGACAACGTGTATACAGCCACAAGGCACAGGACCTGGAGAGGAGTGACCCTAGAGGGAGTCACCCAGGCATAGGGCATGGTGAGTGACAGGGACAGCAGTGACCATATCTTGACCAAAGCCATCATTTGTGTTGTTACTGCATTGCCAGAGACAGGGAGGATGGGAACAGGTAGGTGCAGGACCCTGAAGCATTCCAGTGAGCAACCATAATGTTGGCACCCGGAGTCTGACTTCCCAGTACAAGAACATGGCGGGGGCGGGGGCAGCCACAGAGAGGAAGAGGGAAGATGGGCTTGCCAGTGACTGAGGGTCCCAGACAGCAGGCAGCTTACAGAGGACAGTCTGTCTTGAACATGGTGAGTGGAGGGCCTGGGGTCTTGTGGAGCTGTGGGTCCCAGGTGTATCCCTGACTGAGGCCGCAACTTCTGCGCCCAAACTCAGACCTCCTGCCCCAAGAATTCCAAAGCTGGGGCAAGGCCAGCAGCACTCACTGAGGTCATGTGACACTCAAGGGAGCTAAGTGTGACTTGAGAGGGCACATGATAGTCGGTGGTGTCAGAGCACAGGAGCTCCTAGCTGCAGCAGTGTTCCCTCCCGCTTTCTCCAGAGCAGGATGGGTGGGGTCCTTCAAGGGTTTATTTTGGTTTAGCTTTGAGGGTGTACCCCACCATGAAAGGGAAGGCATGGTGGCAGAGCAGGAGGCAGCAGGTCATATTGTGTCCACAGTCAGGAAGGAGAGAGAGAGAGAGAGACAAACAGACAGACAGACAGAGGTGAATGAAGGCTGGCGCTCGGCTTGCATTCTTTGTATCCAGCCCAGGACCCCAGCCCATGAAATGGCAGGCCTACTCACCTAGTTAGCCCAGTGTAGAACTCCCTTACAGACATACACAGAGACTTCAGTTGACAATATTAGCCATTACAGACCCTTTGGGTGGCTTCTGTAGAAGGGGACAAGCCTTTGGCACAAAAGTTCCTTAACTAGATACTATGAGACTCAAAAAGCCAGTTACTGTCCCCACCACAGCAAGCACCTGGGTCCTCCCCAAGCCACTTTTGCCCCTGCCTGGAGCGTCCTCTCCACTCACTGAGAGATGGAGCCAGATAGGCTTTGTGATCTGATTAGAGCCTCTTCTTTCCCCTTTGTCCTACTAGAAGGGACTGCCTCCAGCAAAATTCTTAGAGCACTTATTCTAGAGAGAACTGGCCAGGAGCTGGAGGTCCCAGGCTTCTGCCTAGCATCGGGAGACAGCTGTGGATGAGAGCTGGGGACCACAGCGGCGGGCAGGGGCGTGGCACAGACTGGGCCATTATTTTGCCAGCACTCTGGCTTCTCTGTTTTATTTATTCACTTAGCCCTGTCCTCTCGGGCCTAAAGACACACAGCAGAAAACCCGCCTGTGTGATAGGCGAGGGTGCTTTCCTGGCCTGGTTAGCCCTGGCCTACAGGAAGTTCCCGAGACCTGGTAGGTGGCTTAGTTGAAGCTACTCTTCCCGGTGGGGCCCTTTCAGATGTGCCCATTGCTGGAAACGGGTTTAGTGAGTGGTGCGAGTCAGGGATCTGTGTTTGGCACCGTGTCACAGCTACGGCAGACGCCACTTGCCTGCACCACACTTGCCTCCACTAAGGCTGGGTGCCATCTACTCACCCTCCTCCCGGGACAGACACCGGGGCTGAAGGAAAGCGGCAGGCTGGCTTGCCAGAGTTCAACAGTCCTGATTCTTCTCCTGCCAGAAGTGGAGGTGCTGTGGTCAGGCGCCCCCTAGAGCCTGAAATGGGTTTTGTGGTACGGTACTGAACTTTCCATGCATTGTTTTTTTTTTTTAATTTCATGTTAATTTATTTAATGTGTTTGTGTGTGATGCTTTGGGCATTTAGAGGTCAAAGGACCACTAGCAGGAACAAGCTCTCACTTTCTACCATGTGGGTCCAGGGTATTGAACTCAAGTAGTCAGACTTGATGGAAGGTGCCTTTCCCACAGAGCCTTCTCTCTCTCTCTCACACACACCGTACCTGGATATAGGTATCTGGAGAAGCCTTATTTAACAGCCATACTGTATTGGTTTCTTAGGCCTGCAGTTCCCACAAAGGGAAGAACTGCATGCAAGTGTGACTGGCCTGCACAACAGAGTGCTGTTTTCTCCCACTCAGCAGGCTGACAGTCTGAGATGTAGTCGTCAGTAGGACTCTGTCTTCGTACTTCCCTTGGCCTTGGTACCTTTCCACGGTCTTCATGGGATTCTTCCTCTGTATAGATCATGTCCAGTGGATTAGGGCCCACCCCAGTGACCTCACTGAAACTTAACTGTCTCTCCAAAGATGGCCCCAGGTTGGACTTCAGCATGAAAACGGTTCAGAGACAGTTCAGTCTTGGGAAGTATCATCTTCTCGTCCTGCTTTCTGTGTCATTTCCCTAAGCCTGGACCTTTTCTCATGGCCCTGCCTACTTCTGCCCCTCCTGCATGGCATCCTGGGGCGAGAGCTCCTGATCACGTCTCTAGTTAGCCAGAAGTTGAGACAAGAACACTTGGGAAGGAGAAGATGGAAAACTCTGGCTCTTCCAGTGCAGCAGAAGTCAGAACTGGAGCCCTGGAATAGCAGGGTGCCCACATTTTTACTTGGAAAAGGGGGCTGATGGATAAGGTGCTTTAGAGGAAGAATCTTGCTCATCTAACCTTCCTAGTTTTCTCATATTAATTTTTGAGAATAAATATAGTACGGAGTTATATTGGGCCAGATTCTCTAGAACAGAACTCATTATATATGTATGTGTGTATACACACACACACACACACACACACACACACATATGATATAGGACTTACTAGGTTGGAGTTTGGGTAGTCCAACAGTGGCTGACAGCCTGCAAGAGAGGCAGAGAAGCTGCTGGGTGCTCAATCTACAAAGCTGGATGCATGAGTAGTTCAAAACTGGGGCTATGGGCCTGATAGCCGCCTGCGGAGCTGGCAGTCAGTCCACACTGGAAGGCTGAAGAAGCTGGAGTCCTGATGGCGGAGGATGGTGGCGACAGCAGGAGATGCACTTGCTGGGGAGGGAGGCAGGGGACACCACTTTCAGTCACAGATAACTTCTTTGGAAGATGCCGCTCCCTTAGAAGGCAGACCCTCCCCTTGGTTAATTCTCTCTGGAAACACACACACACACACACACATGGGGAGATGTCTCCTAGACTGACTCTGAATCCCAACAAGTCACAATTAAGACCAGCTATCACAAGTATGTTTGACTATCTACTACCACACTGTCAAGTCACAAATCAATGTTGCTTCCAGCAGCTGGGGACAGGCACACCTGCGGTCCCAGTGCTTTAAAGGCTGGAACAAGAGGCCCATGGTAGTTAGTTCTAAGGCTAGCCTGAGCTCCACAGCAAGAAACTGTCACAAATACGAACCAAAAAAAAATGATGTATAATTCCTCTAGTATATGTACCAAAGTGCAAATTCATTTGGGACATGTCGACCATTCCAGTATAAAACCTTCTGCCCAGGCAGGGAGAATTCCCATTTCTACCCTCTGCTATAGCTTCATCTATTCTCAACATTTTTAAGTTTTAAAAATTTTTTGTATGTGTTCATATTAATGAGTGTGTGTGTGTGTGTGTGTGTGTGTCTGCAGTCCTCGGCTAGAGGAAGATGTCAGGCATCTGCCATGCTTTATCATTCTCTGTCTTATTGCCTTAATCTCTCACCGAACCAGTAGCTTGGCTGAAAACCAGCAAACGCCAGCTAACCTCCTGTGTCCACACAGCACTGGGTTTAGAAGCATGCCTGAGCATGCCCGAGCATGCCCAAGCACGCCTGTCATTTTATACGAGTGCTAGGGATCTGAACTCAAGTTTTCATGTTTGCTTAGCAAACGGTCTTACACACTGAGCCAGCTCCCAGGTCCTTTCTAAGTATTTCTTTCTTTTAAACATAATTTTTATTGATCCTTTGGGAATTTCACATCATAAACCCCAGTCCCACTCATTTTCTAGCCCCTCCATATCCACTCCTACCCCCATAGTGTTCCCCCCAAAGAAAAATTTAAAAACTTAATTCAAAACAAAACAGAAAAACAATAACAAAAACCCCACTCTGTTCCTCCATCTTTCCCACACACACCTCTTCATTCATCTTAGTGGCACTGGGTGCTGCAGTGTGTCACCCAGTGTACGCTTTTGTCCATTCCACTTTCCTTGTTCTGACTGTAATGTGTTGTTGGTGTGGTTCAAGGCCTCTGGCTTCTGGTACACCATCAATACTGGATCCTCACCCAAACTCCTGCTGGATGTCCCGTCCCACCATTGCCCCACGTCATGGAGATTCTGCAGCCGTGGTTCTGTAGGACCAGTCTCTTCATGTACTCAACTAGGTCATGGATGGTGTAGGTGCTGGGGCAGGCCAGCTCAAAGCCCTGAATGCGGGTCTGCATGGTAGCTGATTTGGTCATTCTGGGCTGCTGGGGCTGCCCCTCAGGTGAGGGGCCAGCTCTTCTATACTGGTGTTGGTGATTAGGGCGGCTCTTCCATACTCATGGTGAAGGGTGGGGCCAGCTCTCCTGTGAGGGTCAGAACTAACTCTTCTATGGCAGTAGCCAGCTCTCTTGGGGACAGTGATGGGTGGTGCTGGCTTAGCACGGCCCTTGGGTTTCAACATGCATAGTCCCTAGGGTCCCCTGTGGTATCTTGAGCCAAGGGTCATATCTGGGTCTATGATTCTGCCGCAGCCATAGTCAATGCTGATATCCATGGTTTATGTTGACCTTTGGCAGCAGCTTGGACTCAGATGTCACCCTGGCTTTGGGTGGCAGTGCAGGCCACTCAGATAAGTATGGCACAGCTGGAGCATAGCGCTCGTACACCAACATGGCCTCAGGTGTCAGGCTAGACCTGGGGCATCCTTTTGGTCTTCAGTGTTAACTGAAGCATGGATAGCAACACAGACCCTGGCTGCAGTAGGGTCATGATCCCAGACATGGCCCTCAGCTGCAGCTGTGGTCCTGATAACACCAAAGCACTGAGTGGCAGCACAGGCCACCTCAGCTCAGCCTGGCCCCTGTGGTGGCACAGTCCTCAGACACCAGCATGGCCACAAGTGGCGGCCCAGACCCTGGGGCATCAGTGTGGCCTTTGGTGGTAACATGGGCCACAGATGTCAACACAGACTGGGTTATCAATTGCTCTGCTGGGGTAGGACCATGGCCCTTGGCAGCAGGCCAGGATCAGACGTCACCATGGCACCTACAGTAGCTTGTTTCTGACCACCTTTGCTTCTGCAGTTCCTCCTGTTTCCGCAGCACAGGAACCAGTCGGTTTCTCTTTCTCTCCCATTTCTCCACCATATACTTGCTCATCATAATGGGGTCTGTCTGCCTGGCGCTGCAGGCCTGTGGGTGTCTTCAGCCAGTCTGGGTCAGTGAGGATCCTGGAGGGCCTGTGGCTGTCTTTCACCACCTCTCTAAGCATTTCTTAGACGGGAAATTATAAAATAAGTATTGTTATAGAAGCCTGTAATCCCAGCACTCAGGAGGTGGAGACAGGAGGATCAGAAGTTCAAAGTCATCCTCAGCTCAAGTCTGGGCTACCTGGGATCCTGTCTCAGAAAACAATCAGCACTGAAATAAAGAAACAAATAAAATCATATGTGTGATCCCTTGTCTGACTACTTGGATTTAGCTATCCCATTTTTCGCATACATATCATAGCCTGCGTCCATACACCTTTTGATTGATGACTTCCGGCACTTAATTTATTCTGAGCATGTGTGTGTATACACGGATGTACACAAGCCAAATGCAGAGGTCAGAGGATAACTCCCAGGGATGTATACTCGCCTGAGGGTCCCAGGAGTGGCCCTCGGGTTACCAGGCTTGGCAGCAGGAGCCTTCACCCACTGAGCCGTTTCTCTGGTTCGGACTGGTAATCTTGACAACCTTTTGTGTCTTTTCCACAGGTCACAGTCATCAGCTGTTTCATGTGTGTGTGATCCTGGCCACACACTTGCAGATGGAAGCCATCCTGCTGGATAAGACTCTAAGGAAGGAGTGGCTTTTGGCCACCTCCAGACCCTTCTCCTTGCCCCAGATAGCAGCAGCCTTGCTTCTGTGCATCATCTTCAGCCTCAGCAACATTATTTATTTCTCAGCTGCTCTCTATCGGATCCCTGAGCCTGAATTACATGAAAAGGAAACGTGATTTACAACGCGCCAGGCGTCAGTGTTAAGTCACTGGTGTGGTGCCGGTTTACCGTGGCCAAAAGTATTTGTAGTGACTGATGTCTTGACGCTTTTTAATGGGCTCGTATCAAAAAAATGCATCTAACCTGGGGAGAGTTCTCCACACATGCACTGATTCTGTAAGTGTTCTGTAAAAAGGAGAAGAACATGGGCTTAAGTCCTGGACAACACAAATTATTGAAATATTAAGTTTAACTTATTTAAAACGGGGTGTTTAGGAGATGGGGGTGCAGCACAGTTGGTAAATACTTGCCTACAATATACAAAGGCCTGTTTTTGTTTGTTTGGTTTTGGCTGTTTTTGTTTGTTTGAGACAAGGTCTCACTATGTAGCTCAGGCTGTTCTGGAATTTACTGTGTAGACCAGGCTGGCTCCTGACTCCTCAGGGCTGAGATTAAAGGCATGTGCCATGTACCACTAGACTGAGTCCCTGGTTTTGATCCTCAGCGAAGCTGGAACCTGACCTGATGGTGTATACCTATAATTCCAGTACCAGAGGAGTAGAACCAGATGACCAGAAGTTCAAATACTTACTGATTTGAGGCCATCCTTGGATACAGGAGATTCTGTCTCTAAAAAAAATACGGTTCTCAATTTAAAGTCGAATTAAGCATATTGTCCTGCCCTGCCCACACCCCCCCCCCTTTTTTGCGACGTGGTTTTTCTGTAGCTTTGGATTTGGAGCCTGTCCTAGAACTCTGTCTGTAGACCAGGCTGGCCTTGAACTCACAGAGATCTGTCTCTGCCTGCTGGGATTAAAGTTGTGAGCCACCACTGCCTGGCTGCCTTTCTGATTTTTATATTAATGTTTAAAATGAAATTGGCTGCATTTGGTGAATTCTGTATAGCTAAACTTCTTCCCCAGATGAGAGATGGGTCAATGAATTACGAAGCTTGCTGTCAAGCCTGAGAACAGGCGTTCGATATCTAGGCCCTGCTGCAAAATATTCCATAGTGGAGATAAAATGTGTTGACCTCTGAGCTAAGGGTATCATCTCAACTGGTAGGGCTCCCTGTCACCTTTTCAAGCAATGAAGGAGTTGTCTTTGGAGATGTCACATGCCTGACATTGTTTAAGCATGCCCAGTATGCTGCCAGACTTAGAATCTGTGCAGAGGGTGTTGAAAATCTCACCAATGGGACAGTCAAATATCCCGTCTTCAAACCCAGGTAAGCCTGTGACATGCATTTCCTGGGGTGAACCTAGGGCTTCTACTTTCCCTACGTTATGCAAATTTTGTAGAGAAAAATGTGGACAAGATCACATCCACATGAGGACTCCAACACAGGAGGGCAGGGAGCAAAAGCTAAAGACATTTGTGGTGTCTTTCATTTACAGCTTGATCAAAGCTCGAGCAACTGGGGAGATATCATGATCACAACGGTGGTTTTCCCAGGGTGAGGCTTGGCCATTGCTCTCCGGATGTGTTGACCCCTGTGATTTCCTCAAATGTGGGGAGACTCGACTGCATAATTTGTGGTAGTGGGGGACTTCATTTGTGCTCTCCGATACGGGGCAGGGGGAGTTTCAGTAACCCACCATCTATGTGTAAATCCTTGTATTCTTTCCAGAGTTTTCTACTGTTGATAATATTTTTTAAAGTGGTTAAAATAAAAATGAAGTCTTGTGGATCAAATCTAGACTAAAAAGAAGATAAAGCCAGGAGGCTTGAAGGAGAGTTGCTCAGGCATGCATGCTGATTTAAAGCTCTCTGTTTCCTGTGTGTGGATGAATGAGGTCAGCCATCTTCCTGACTGCTGGGTCAGCCTCGCATTCAGGATCCATACCTTCCCTACCATATCCCTTCTAGAACAATATACCCAAATAACCCCCTTCTTAAAAATAATAACATCACACACACACACACACACACATCCAACAGAACTCTGCTAAGAGCCACAACCTTGTGCAATGATCTTTGCCGTCTTATACAAAAAATACTTGTGCAGGGCCATCTACCCATAGCTGCCTGTCTGCCCTGGGGCCAATGTTACCCTTGTTATTGATGCTCTGAACCAAATATTACTGTATTCATATGCAACATAGCATCCTTCTCATTTTGCCTTAAAAATATCCCACTATAGGGCTGGGGATGGCTCAGTGGGTCCAGTGTTTGCTGTGCAAGCATCCAAGCAAGTTCAGATTCCCAAGTATGCACCATGGAAACCTAGGTGTGCCTGTAACCCCAGCACTGGGAACTAACTGGCCAGGTAGTCTATCTAAATGTAGAGGTTTAGTGAGAGGTCCCTTCTCAGCCAGGTGGAAGCCATGGAGGTAGACACGCTGATGCCACATGCATCAGCATGGATGAGAGTGTCTCGGCACACTCACCCTTGCCTAGACTCCCAATGTGCATGTAATTTCCCACAGTATGGGTGCAGTCATTGCAGCTCTGTTCTGGATTTATTTGTTGTCTTTGGAGAAGCTCTGTTATTTAGGCTCGTGGTATCAAACATGGCAATTCCTTGTTTGTTGCATTAGTAATTAAAGTTCAGGATTTTATAGGGTTTCAGGGAGTCCAGAAATGCTGATACAAAGCAAAGTTTAAGAGAGGCCCATCAACCCACCATTTGTACTTGGTAGTGACTTTGGGGGTCATCCATCACAGAGCTGGCTCCCTTTGCCGACTTGGAATACCCTCTGTCCTACACCCTCTCCAGGATTAGGCAGCTCAGCCATGTCAATGGCCTTGCCAGTAGTTCACAGTCTCGTTCTTTCATGACAAGGGCCAACATATTTTGGATGTGAGTGGTCAAGAAATATGGCTTGATTATTTTATTATCTGTTTACTTCTCCCCAGGAAGGGAGACTGATACAATTATATGGGCTGGTAAATTTTGTTACATTAATTACAAACTGCACAATCAATTTTGTTCTTTAATAGCAATGTGACATTGTTAGTGGCATTTTCACAGCCCCTATTTTATGGTGGAAGGAAAAGGTATAAAATTGGACTGGGCATGGGGCTCAGATGGTGGTTTTTGCCTGGCATGCATCAGGCCCTGGCTTTGATACCCAGCACTGCATATACTGGGCATGGTGTTACATGTCAATGATCCCAGCATTTGGGATACGGGGACAGGAGAATCACATCATACTCAGCTACACAGTCTGAGGCCAGTCTGAGATTCATTAGGCAACCAAATAATAACTCTAGTTCAGTGTTTCTCAACCTCTTTGGGGGTCAAACAACCCTTTCACAGGAGTTGTCCAAGACTAGCAGAAAACACAGATATTTACAGAACAATATATAACAGTATCAAAATTATAGTTATGAAGTAACAAAAACAATTTTATGGTTGGGAGGGTCACCACAACATGAGGAATTCTATTAAAGGGCCACAGCACTAGGAAGGTTGAGAACCGCTGCTCTAGTTCTAGAGGTTTCGAGGCCCTCTGGTTTCCACGGGCTCTGCATGAACGTGATGCAGACATAGCCAAAACACTCACACATATAAAACGAATCTTTAAAAAGCAAACAATAACAACAAAACAGGTATAGTGTTGACACTCTGGAGGCAGAAGTGAATAAAATCAAACCTTCCAGGCCTGCTCTTGTGAACATAGCACTAGTAGATAAATCCAGAAAAGATCAGTCCTGTGAAGGAAACAGACCCAGGGAGCTGAGGAGAGAGGTAGCCCGCTGAATTGCACAGCCTGTCTGATAAGCAACAGCTCAGGAGAGGCTTCAGGACCGGAAGGAGCCAGGCTGGCTGGCGAGTAGTGGACAGACATTTCTGGCTTTGGGGCCGGGAGGGCTACCTTATTGGAAGGAGAGGAGCCAGGCCGTTCCTTCCAGAAATGTTGAACTGCACTCGGGAAGACAATGATGAATTCTGAAGAGGTTCTGAATGGTCCCTGAGAAATTGCCCGAGGGCCTTCTTGTGCTCCTTTCTAAGTGTAGGGAATGCTTGGAGCTCTGTAATAAAGTACCTCAGGCAAGACACTTATCAGCTGCCATCTTGTCTGAGCATCAGCTTTCTAGAACAGGCTTTGCTTTGGCCTCCCTGAAAAGTGGATCAAAAGGAGCTCAGAGATACTTTAGTTCACCCTGTAAAAATGTTGCCCAGCCATGTGAAACGAACACATTCAGGCCTAAGCATGCTGACATATGAGATGCAAGGAGGGAGGGGTGCTGAATACCGGCTATTCAGAAAAATCCTCAGGGGATTCCCGCCTTATGTTGCTAGAAATGGAACCCAGGACCCAGCTCAAAAGTTAACCTCACCATAAGACCTACCAAGAAAAACAAAACATGTATTTCAAGACCTTTATGCAGGCTTGAGAGATGGCTCACCTATTTAGAGCACTTGCTGCTCTTGCAGAGAACCCAGGTTTGGGTTCCAGCACCAACACAGATGCTCACAATAATCTAAAACTCCAGTTTCAGGGGATACAGTGCCCTCTTCTGGACTTTGTAGGCATGGCATGTACATGGTGCACATACAAACAAACAGGCAAACATACATACAAACACACACACATACACACACACACACACACACACACACACACACACGAAAATAAAAATTTGTTGTACAAGGCGATCGGGCCGAGTTCTGCCGCCCGGCTAGCTTAACCCAAAATAATTACACAGAAACTGTATTTATTTAAACACTGGTCCATTAGTTCTAGCCTCTTATTGGCTAACTCTCACATCTTGATTAACCCATTTCTAATAATCTGTATGTCACCACAAGGTCGTGGCTTACTGGGAAGATTCAGTATATCTGACTCTGGTGACTCCATGGCAGCTCTCTCTGTCTGCTTCCTTCCCAGCATCCTGTTCTGTCTAATCCACCCACCTAAGTGCTCCCCTATCAAAAGGCCAAGGCAGTTTTCTTTATTTAACCAATGAAAGCAACACATAGAAAGAAGAATCTCCTAAACCAAATGTGTAAGTGCATGTTGTCTTTGCAAAGGACCTGAGTTTGGTTATCAGCACCCACATTAGGTAGTTCACCACCACCTGGAACTGTAGTTCCAGGGGATCTGATGTCCTTTTATAGTCTTTTTAGATACTCATACACACACACACACACACACACACACACACACACACACACAGAGTTAAAAATAAATCTTGCAGGGCAGTGGTAGTGCATGCTTTTAATCTTTTAATTCCAGAATTTGGGAGACAGAGACAGGCAGATCTCTGTGAGTTTGAGGCCAACCTGGTCTACAGAGTAAGTTCCAGGACAAGCCAGGGTTAAAAAGAGAAATCTTGTCTNCCCCCCCCCCCCCCCCGCAACAAACAAATCTTGAAACAGATTTTTTTTTAAATACAGATTGTATTGTTGATTCCTTCCTAATTGCTGCTGCTGGCCTGGAACTTACTATGTGCTGAGATTAAACACATGATTAACCAGGCTTGAGCCAGGTGACTTTTTTTAAGATGGGGAAATTTAAGATGGGACATTTATAATCTCTAGAACTTGAGTGTCAAGGGGGAGGAAGATCACCAGTTAGAGGCCAGCTTGAGCTACATAATAACATCCTTATTACAATTATCTCAGAAACACCTGAGTTAGCGAATTAGCTCAGTAATAACAGCACAGCCTCTGGGTTTTCTTCTCACTGCTGGGGGGAGAGGGTGAGAGGTTGCAGGTGGGAAGGTTAATAAGCTCTATTATAGTTTTCTTTTTTTTCTGTTGAGACAGGATTTTCCTGTAGCTTTGGAGCCTGACCTGGAACTAGCTGTTGTAGACCAGGCTGGCCTCGAACTCACAGAGATCTGCCTGCTCTGCCTCCCGAGTGCTGGGATTAAAGGCGTGCGCACCACCGCCTGGTCTACTTTTCTTTTTAAAAGTTGCATTTATTTGGAGGGGGGGGGCGCATGCGTGTGGGCCTGTAAACTTGCAGGAATTGCTTCTCTCCTTCTTCCATGTGGGTCCTAGCAATCAAACCTAGGTCATCCGGCTTGGGGTCAAGCATCATTACAAGTTTAGCCATCTCACAGTTTTGAATTCAGAAACATGTTGCCAAGTACTGCAGACATTCCCAGCCCCCCCCCCTGCCTCCACCTTCTGATGCTTAGAACCCCTTCTGTGGCAGTGGGGGCCTGCTCCCCTTAGCCACCCTGCAACAGTGTACTTTCTGACTTGCTCAGTCCTTGAGTGTTTGGAATGCCGTTTGAGAATTACTAAGCCACGCCCGGGTGAGAAAGGGGTGTCCTCACACTTTGCTGTGTGAGCCGGGAGTGATAGCCCAAGCAGCCTAAAACACTGTGTATGCTAGTTCACTTCCTGTGTATGCTATTCATTTGAAATGTGGCTGACGGGGCTGGATTTATTTCATGTGAATTGATTATGTCGGCCCCTCCACCTGATCAATTCCTTGTTTCTGGAGTATGAAAAAGATAAACATCTAATCTTTCATTGTACAGCTGCCTGGGAACCTGAGCCAGTGTTTCCAAGGCAACTATTAACAGCCACTCAGGGTGACTGAGGTGTGTCAAATGGGTTTGAGCTGCACAGCAGCCCTGTCTCCATTTTCTCTCTTCTTCTCAAATACCCTGAGCTTCAGCAGTTATTGGTGTTTTTAGGCCTCCCCCAGCTGGGCTTGCTTACCTGGGCGCCTTAGCTACCTGTAGATTAACTGTCACACGAGTTTGTATGTGAGAAAAACATAGTCTTAAGCATCTGTAGTGC